CACAACACACACAGACCAACAACATGTATACACAACACACTCAGACCAACAACATGACTACACAACACACTCAGACCAACATCATGTATACACAACACACACAGACCAACATCATGTATACACAACACACACAGACCAACAACATGACTACACAACACACACAGACAAACAACATGACTACACAACACACACAGACCAACATCATGTATACACAACACACACAGACCAACAACATGTATACACAACACACTCAGACCAACAACATGACTACACAACACACTCAGACCAACATCATGTATACACAACACACACAGACCAACAACATGTATACACAACACACACAGACCAACAACATGACTACACAACACACTCAGACCAACATCATGTATACACAACACACACAGACCAACATCATGTATACACAACACACACAGACCAACAACATGACTACACAACACACTCAGACCAACAACATGACTACACAACACACTCAGACCAACATCATGTATACACAACACACACAGACCAACAACATGTATACACAACACACTCAGACCAACATCATGTATACACAACACACTCAGACCAACAACATGACTACACAACACACTCAGACCAACATCATGTATACACAACACACACAGACCAACAACATGTATACACAACACACACAGACCAACATCATGTATACACAACACACTCAGACCAACAACATGACTACACAACACACTCAGACCAACATCATGTATACACAACACACTCAGACCAACAACATGTATACACAACACACACAGACCAACAACACGACTACACAACACACTCAGACCAACATCATGTATACACAACACACACAGACCAACAACATGACTACACAACACACACAGACCAACATCATGTATACACAACACACTCAGACCAACATCATGTATACACAACACACACAGACCAACAACACGACTACACAACACACACAGACCAACATCATGTATACACAACACACTCAGACCAACATCATGTATACACAACACACACAGACCAACAACATGACTACACAACCCACACAGACCAACAACATGACTACACAACACACACAGACCAACAACAACATGACTACACAACACACACAGACCAACATCATGTATACACAACACACACAGAACAACAACATGTATACACAACACACACAGACCAACATCATGTATACACAACACACACAGACCAACATCATGTATACACAACACACTCAGACCAACAACATCATGACTACACAACACACTCAGACCAACATCATGTATACACAACACACACAGACCAACAACATGACTACACAACACACTCAGACCAACAACATGACTACACAACACACACAGACCAACAACATCATGTATTCACAGACAGACCAACATTATCAAGTCTACACAGACAGACCAAAAACATGACTACACCTCAGAGCAGAGGTGTGGACTCGAGTTACATGACTTGGACTCAAGTCAGACTCGAGTCATTATTTTCATGACTTCTGACTGGACTTGATAAAATCTGTAAAGACTTATGACTTGACTCAGACTTGAACGCCAATGACTTGCGACTTGAATCGACTTGCATCTGTTGACTTGATGATGACTTGAGCATATTTGACATTTTAGCACAAAAGTGGAACGGCATGGACAAAAATCCTAAATCATTCTTGGTTCTGGGTTAGATCTTGTACAGCTAAATGCAGCAGCACTTTGTTTAGAATCAGTTTCAGTTGCACTTTCTGCTTGTTTCAGCAAATAAATGAAGCTTTAAGAAGCTTTATTTCTGGAATTTAGTTATTATCATTGTCATTAAATTTAAGTTAGATAGATGACTTGAATATGACTTGAAAATTCAAAGCTTGGACTTGACTTGGACTTCTACATCATTGACTTTGGACTCGACTTGGACTTAGTTGTCTTTGACTTGGACTTGACTCGAGACTTGACTGGAAAGACTTGTGACTTACTTGTGACTTGCAAAGCAGTGACTTGGTCACACCTCTGCAACAGAGACAGACCAACAAAACAATGTCTACACAACAGAGACAGACCATTTTTGGTTCTTTTTAAAACACAGGAAAGGTTTCTCTTTACCTTGCTGACAGTTTTGTTTGCCGACTGCAAAACATCCTCAGAGCTGATGCTGATGGTGGCGTCACTTCCTACTCTGTTTATCCGCGGGCAGCAGAGGACGTTGTCACCCTCTGCTGCCCGCTCTCCCCTCTCCGATAATGCAGTCCCATGCACAATTCAATGTGTAGACCCCATCGTTTCTGTTCATGGTCCCGCATCCACGTCTCCTTATCTCTATAGCTTCTTTTATCCATCATTTGTATTTTTGTTGTTCGGTGTTTATGATCCTTTTGTCGTCCCAGTCCATTATATGGTTTTCTTTTGTGCAGTGATCTGTTACGGCTGACTTCTTTATTGTGCTTTCTGCTTCTTGTTTTGATGCTCTTGTGTGTTTTCGACTTGTTTCTTTCTTGCACTCCTTTCTCTTTCAAACATGGTAACAGAAGAAAGAGACCGCAAACAAGAGGACAAACACATACAACACGCTTTAAAGACCTGCGGATACCCGACATGGGCAATAAACGAAGGAAAACAACAAACAACAACAGAAAGAAAAGAACAACCTAAGCAAAGGACCAGAAACCCAGAAAGACAAGAACCAAAACCAGTGATAACCCTACCATACATCAAAGGCTTAACAGGAAAAAATAAGACCATCAATGAAAAAACACAACATAAACACACCAACAAAACCATACACAACAGTTAGAAACAGACTAGTACACCCAAAAGACAAGATACCAGCTGGACATAAATGTGGAGTCGCTTACGAAATCCCATGCAAACTCTGCAATAAAGCATACATAGGAGAAACTGGACGCCAACTCAACACACAAACAATGGAAAATAGAAAGGAGTGCGAGAAAGAGGCAAGTCGAAAACACACAAGAGCAGCAAAACAAGAAGCAGAAAGCACAATAAAGAAGTTAGCCGTAACAGATCACTGCACAAGAGAAAACCATGTAATGGACTGGGACGACAAAAGGATCATAAACACCGAACAACAAAAATACAAAAGATGGATAAAGGAAGCAATCGAGATAAGGAGACGGGGATGTGGGACCAAGAACAGAGACGATGGGGTTTACACGTTGGACCGCACATGGGACTGCATCATCGGAGAGGGGAGAGCGGGCAGCAGAGGGTGACAACGTCCTCTGCTGCCCGCAGATAAACACAGTAGGAAGTGACGCCACCATCAGTGTCAGCTCTGAGGATGTTTTGCAGTCGACAAATGAAACAACAGCAAGGTAAAGAGAACCATTTCCTGTGTTTAAAAAATAACCAAAAATGGAATTAGAAACTAGACACAGTAAGAACATACCAAAGATGTGTAGAGACAGACCAACACTATCATGTCTACACAACACAGAGATGAACCAACTACACATCTACTGCACTGGTTAGCATGCTAAACTAACAAAACTGAACAACCAGTCATGTTTCTATAGACCTGTGTGCATCACATCATATTCAACTGTTCTGTTGTATTTATTTAGCTGTTACTGAATCAAATGCTCATACCGAATTAGGAATGGAACCGTTTTGCAAATGAGACTCACAATGAACTTTGGTCCTCCAGGAAGACTTTTACATAAATTACAATTGCCTCTCAGACCTGATGGCAGATCTTTACACTAATCTCTAATCTTTAAGACCTCCTCCAACAGCTCCTTTCAGCCTGTTTAGAAACATCTTAGACATCTCTAGTTTCTCCTGCAAAACCAGAATCGGCCCCAGGATTCATATCTAAATCCTCATGAAGCTCAAAACCGTGTTTGAGACCCATGTAGTGCAGATCTGTAAAACCTGCTGAGACACTACTCAAAGTACAAAAACCTGCTAGATCTCCTAAGTACTAGCTTCTATCACTGATAACTTCAACCTTGTAAAAGATTCAAAACTTCCGAATGGACCAAAAACTTTAATGAACTGTTAAATTAGTCTGTTGGGAGGACAAGACTGTTTAGTTTCTGTTTCACAAATCCAAACCTGACATATCCATTAGAACTTTTAATAGTGCCTCTAGCTTCACTGAAAGTTCTGAAAAATCCCAACTTAACTCAACCCTAAGCCTAATCCCCAATCTCAACTATCGTTGGCAGGACACGAAACCTAATCCAGGACCTCTCTAAATGAATGAATCATTCAACTGAGAAGAATGAGTCCATGAACTAACTTTCGAACATCTACAGTCTCCTTTGTGGGCAACAGAAGCAGTTACCTGGTCAGAACACTAGTTACCATGACAACACAGGTCAGTTAGTTGGACACTAGCTGCAGGTTAAGCAGCTCTAAGGGTTTGCCTTACATAAAACCAACAGATTCTGACCTCATGAAGATCTTCTGACTAACATTAGATCGAACCCATCTGATGGATCTGGACTCTGATGAAGCTCCAAATCCACAAGGTCTATCCAACTCATCCAACAGATGCAATAGGTCCATTAAGTTCCAAAAGCCAGGAGGGTCCAACAAGCCCAACTGTTCCAATAGTTAGCAAAGTCCAACAGTTCCAGTAGATCCACAAAATCCAACAGCTCCTAGGTCCAATGGGTTCAATCAATTGGTCCAACTGATTGTGCGGTTTTGGACCAGATTTTTATATCTGGTGCTTCTCTTTGGCTTATGTTTGCAATTTCTAGAAGCCACTCCTGAAATGTTCTTTACAGTTAAGATCCAGCAAATGGTTCTTTTTCTGTTTCCGTTAAATTTAGGAATTCATCCTGAAGAGAACCTGAACAGTATCAGTGCCCGCCTAGAATCAGAGGAAGTTTCACACACACACACACACACACACACACACACACACACACACACACACACACACACACACACACACACACACACTAAGCAAAAACAACTACGAGACATAGACAGACAGACAGACAGACAGGTTTTACCTACATTAAAACTGAGACGGGCTAATCCTTCTCCAGTGTTTCTTCCTGTGTTCCTGAAGGAGACTCTGAATTCTTCAAACAGGTTTTTATTTGGCTCCGCCTCCATTCAACCTGCCAGTCCCAGCTTGTTCGGTCCAGCACTCCTTCCTGCTCCTCCACCCTTTTCCCCTGCTCCGCCTACTCATCCTCCTTATAATAGCAGACCAGCACCGCTCTCTGTCTGTCTGTAAGAGTTGCATACTGATACATCTTTACATGCTAAATGAAACAGCAAACAATTAGATTATATCCCTCTTATTAGATTATATTCCTCTACTTGACCCTTTAACTAATAAGGGCTCTTCCTCAGCATGACTTTGATTCCTGAAGTAGGGACATTTCAGACAAATTACACTTTCATAAGTCTATCTCCTGTTTAGAACATCTGTTCCTGAAACAATTATTGTGTTTTCAAACACTTTTAGGTTTAGGTAAACCTACGATAACCAGCAGTTGTTGTATAGCACGTTCACTGTCTCTATGTAACAAATGAGTTTTATTCTCCTTAAAGAAATCTGCTGTCCCCCTCTTAAAGTCAATTTAAAGACCATGGGTGAAATCAGATGAGATAAAGTTGAATTAATCAGTGAATCAAATTACATATTTTAGAGTCATCTTTTCTTCTGATCAGAGGAGATTTGCCAATTCTGACCAGAAAATAGGAAGGCATATAAAATGTAGCTGTCTGTTGTTTCTTAATGAGCTGAAGCTACCTATGCATACCCCTCTTCCCTACCCCCGATGAGTCGTTTATGTCGTTAAGACTTATTGTGTTAGAATGGTTGTTTGAAATCAACAAATACATCTGGAATATAATCCACAGCCAAAAGTGGAACAGACAAGGACATCAGGTGCAAAGCACCATTATATGAGGCCAGAACAGTCTCAATAAGAATTAAGTCACACAACGTTTTCCACAAATGCACACGTTCATTCGGAAATCCACATTCTGTGTTTCACAAATATAATTCGGAGGAACACAAATGCACACGCTCATTCGGAAATTCACACTCTTTGACTCATAAATATAATGTGAAAAAATAAGTCACGCAACATTTTCCACAAATGCACATGCTAATTCTGAAGTTCACACTCTGTGGTTCACAAATATAATTTGTAAGAACACTTGTAATATAAACTCAGATCGTACGAATTGCTGAACGTGCATTTACGAACAGCTTCTCATTTGTGAACCTTTCCGCGTTTGTGAGTGAAATCTGTGTGGTGCATTCACGAACAGCTTCTCATTTGTGAACCTTCCTGCATTCGTGAGAGAAATCGGTGTGCTGAATTTTGAGACTCTCCTAACGTCGCAGGTCAACAAACGTCACCATTGGCTAATGAACCTGTCAATCAAATATATGCTTCTGCCAGGGCTGTTCGCTTTCAGCCAATCATATGGGTCCTTATGTCACAGAACAGATCTGCTGTGCGCATGCGCATTGCAGTTCACACGGCAGAGCAGGATGGACCGGTCACGATCTGTGAGTAATAGTTTTATCTTATTCCCTCGTTGTAATTGATGCAATGTTATAGAATTATGAGTAGAAGCGTTCTTCATGATCAAGTAAAATGTTTTATGTTAAATTCAGTCCAGACGTTACGTGAAGTCTGGTCCATTCTTCATCTAGTTTAACATCAAGCTAAACTCAAGTGAACATTTGTTTAGTTAGCGTATCTAGGTACCATTTTTTTAGGCGACGGTTGTCAAACTCAAGGCCTTGGTCTATTTTTATTTGCCCCGCGAAATCAAATATCAAATATATAATATTAAACTGGCCCGCCGGGCGATTTCGCTAATAAGACTACTAATCCCATAGTGCTTTGCGGCGTTAGCGCGCGAGACGAAGCAAGCCCTCTTTTATGTTTACATCATTAGCATCCATGCTAGTTGAATCAGCGTGTGCAGCGTTACCCTCAGTCTTAAACAACTGAAGATACTCCTCTAAGCACCCAGTTTACTCTGCGAGTTTCCGACTTTGAACGCCTAGAAAGAAGGTATCTGGCTGGAACAGGTGACCATCAGAGTGGAGCGAACTGAGCTTGTAATATTTAATTGCCATGCACTTTTTCTGCTCCAAAGCATGAACGTTAATAACTGAGATATTTTCATAGAAGATAATTGCTATTTTTGGTTTTCACAGGTCTTAACTTATTTAATTATCTAACATGTTATTGTATGGCTGTTGTACCTTTCATTTGGTAATTGATTGTTTTGACCCCTATAAAAATGTGTCATATGAGAGTGTTTGTGCTTGAATTACATAGATCATGTACCTGAAGGTAGCTGACAACAACCGGGCAGACACCCACCTTGCCTTCTTCAGTGAAGCTGTGAATGAGCATGGCTTTCCTCTGAGGTATTCATGTTATTCTCAACTTTACCCTCTGTTACCCTGTTACAAATCTGCTTTTGCCTAAAGTGTGTTATTGACCAAAGATAACATGCCATTTGAGGTCATATAGTAAAATCTATGGGGGGGGGGGGGGGGGGGGGGGGGGGTGAACATTTCCCTCTTTCAAAAAAAATTTCCCCAGCAGAGGGTTAATAATGCCACATTGTTTATTGTTTACTCACTTAGTAGCAAGGTACATAAGGAAATTTCTGTGAGACTCAAATTGATGTAGATTGTTATAGATGTGCATTAAAAATGTTTGAAGCAAGATTCTAATGTTTTTTTTTTTCATGGTGAGAGGAGATCATGGCGGAGAAAATGTAGGTGTTGCAGAATTAATGTTCTCAGTTCGTGGAACTGACACCAACAGCTTCATTGCAGGAAAAAGTGTACACAATCAACGGTGAGTTTAACCTAATTTGGAAGCTTTGTGTCTGTGCGCGCGTGCCTGTGCCTGTTGACGTGCCCAGGGTGTACCCTTCGTCTCACACTTTGACTGCTAGAGATAGGCACCAGTCCTCCTGCGACCATTCAAGAGATAACTCAAGTTGAAAACGGATGTATGGACATGTAAATTTGTGTGTATATTATAATTTTCTTTTATTTAATCCCCCTCCAAATCCAGGATCGAGCGCCTGTGGCGTGATGTCTTCATGAGTGTTACTGGTCTATATTACAACATCCTGCACTCTCTGGAAGACCAAGACTTGCTCGACATCAGTAACATCCTTCACATGTTTTGTTGCCACTATATTTTCTTGTCTCGCATCCAGGCCAGCCTGGATGTCTTTAGAGATGCGTGGGACAACCATCCAATCAGGACAGAGGAAAACATGACACCAAATCAGCTGTGGCATCTGGGCCAGGCTCTGAATCCTGTTTCTGATCCAGGGGCAAATGTATGTTCTGTTAAAATGATTGATCACATGTCAAGTTGATCCTTAACTATAAATCAAATGTTCAACACTTTGATAATCTACCTCTGCACTATGCTTCTTGGATTCAAGACAAAATGGCTGTTGAAATTACGGTTCTGTTTGTGTGCACCTCTACTGAAGTGGACACTGTCAACTATAATGTCATGACATTACAAAGTCATGACGCATCTGCAAGTTCAAAATGCAAGGCATTAGACCTTCCAGATGTGATATTCTCACTGCTGTTTTAACATAAAATTTGCCCATTAATTTAAAAAAAAAAATAATTTATGAAATAATGGAGATGCTAGGTTCTGCCTGACATCATTGATGTTAAGTAATTGTTAAAAGGTCATGATAGGGCTTTATTAAATGTGTTTTCTTGAGATTCATTATGCACAATGCTCATACACACTTTCTTTTTCCAGGGTATACCGACACCAGAGATTGAATGGGAGGAGAACGGATACATGACTTAACCTCATCCTGGGATCAGTGTCCCTGTACTGGACAGTCCTCTTTCAGATCATGAAATGTTGGAACTGCAGGACAACATTAATCCGTTGCAACATTCAGACTCTTTTGGGAGTGGACACATCTTCACACTGTCCAGTATGTTGAGAACTTACTTGAGGCTAGATGATTACATGTGTGAAGAAGGAAGGAGAGAGAAGGTAGGGAGTTAGGAAGAAAGAAAAATAATTAATGAGACAGGAAGGAAGAAAGTTAAAAAGTGAAGGAGTGGTCCATTTTAAGGTTAATATTCTGTATATTGTTATTCAAGGGATTTGCCGTCGTAAATATGAAATGCTAAAGGATAGACCCCAAAATAGATGTCTAAATTCATTTATAGTTGTGTATTTCCTTAAAGTCTTTGTCAGCCTGATTTATTTTAGACCAGGAATGTATTTGAAAAGGCTGCTGTTCACTTCATCTATGCTACAATTCTTCAAAATGTAAATGTGCTATCATTGCTAGTGTTGGTTTAGTAACATGCATCTTCCTGTGTATCCAGCTCTAATAAAAACATTTAAAGGTGAAGCACCTACTTATCAGGAGATCCATTTATTTTTACATGTTATTGTTTGAATTTTGTCTCGTTTCATAACTTTTGCTCAACATTTAAGGGGAACTGTGTTACCCTGCGATCATCTTCATTACACTTGAAAACTTGTACTATACCTCCGTCCGTCTACTTATTAAATGGAATAACATGACAAGATTCTATCTACTGGTTTTTTGATCAAGGGATGATTAGGTGTTGTGAGAAGATTCTCTATGCTTCTGAGTCTGTGTTAAGTTGCAACTGGACACATACCCACACACAGTTTGTTCATTTGTTCTCAGAATGAGAATAATGTCTTTTAGAGTTAAAAAGTTATTTTTTTTTCTTGATGTCACTGAAGGCTGTGTTAGAAATATATGCAGCTCATTAAAAGGAAAAGTAACTGATGTAACCAAAAGCCTGAACACAGGAGAATAGAGACACCTGCCAAGATAAAGACCTGGAGCTTTTGCTCCTTTTCAGAGTCACTCCCATGGAATAGGCCTGATGATTTACTAGCTTCTCTTACCTTCTCTGCAGACAATGTTTAATATGAGCTTCAAGAGGTCTCTGCCCCTAACGGGGTTTGCTTTCACTTAGTAAAAATGCATAATTTTTCTGAATAAGATTATTAAGAGGCCACCCATATGGTGGAGCGTTGGTAATGTAACCGGTTAGATTTGTGTCCGACTTGATGCCGACTTGCTCTGACGTCATGCATACGTAGGCAACGATAACCACTTGAGA